TATTCAAGTGCTAAAAGGCTCAAGGTTTGAAGAGGTTAACTCTCACCAACACAAGCTACACACTCAACACCACGAACAAAACCTCATCAGGCTTCTTGGAAACATGAGAAGGAGCTTTAAAAACTTACAGGGAGCTTAATTAAGCCCAGCACTCAGGAGGCTGAGGCAGGAGAATGGATCATTGCAAGTTCAAGACCAGCCTGGGCTACAAAGTGAGCTCAAGGCCAGCCTGAACTGCACAGTGAGACACTGTCTCAAAAAGACCAAAAAAAAAAAAAAAAAAAATTATGGAAATGCAAAGGGCCAGAAAAAGTCAAGACAGTCTTCAAAAAAAAGTAGGATGTGATGCTTACTCTACTGCTGATCAAGACTTACAGGAAAATGAATCAAGACAATGAGGTATTATCACTAGGATAAATAAATAAATGAAAATAAATAGAAAGGTCAAAAGCAAATCCAGGAAGCTGACTGAATAAACAGTGGTACATATGCATAATGGAGCACAGCTGAGCTACAAAAACAGAACATGCAGGAACTCTATGAACTAATACATATTGATTTCTAGGATATACTGTTAAGTTTTAAAAATAAAGTAGAAAACTATACATAGCATACTTCCTCTTATGTCAGAAAGATGAGGAAATAAAACTATATACTGGCTTATTTGTGAAAAGGAAAAAAGGGTTGAATCACAAACAATAAAAGTGAGTTACCTGCAAGGGGTACTGAGGAACGGGGTATGCCAGTAAGGAAATGATACTTGTTACCAGGCACGGTGGTGCACACCTGTAATCCCAGCTGGAGGCTGAGGCTGGAGGACTGTGAGTTCAAGATCAGCCAGCACTACATAGCAAGACCCTGTCTCAAACTCCCACCCCAAAAAAGTGATACTTGTGATTATACTTTTCCGTAAAGTTTTGACTTTTGGAAGCCTGTTAATTTGTAAGCATTCAAATATGTAATTAAACAAAAATGAAAAAAAGGGAACTGAATTTAAACAGAAATAAATGAGCAGAAATATTTCAAGTAAAAATATTGCTATAAATGGTGGTGGTATAACCCAAAGAACTTCTGAACAATGTGCTTCCAAGCACATTTGTGCTTTCCAAGCACATTTCCTCAGAATAAGGAAATCTCATTTTGAATTCTTTATTTTAGGTTTGTTTTCTCTAGAATTATGGCTGTAAAAATTGCGAAAATTATAGGATTGAGCAAAACAGTAAACACACTGATAACAAGGAGTCTGGCTTCTCACTGTGGAGGAAGGGAAAAAAATCGATAATCCAGTAAGCAAAGGAGAGACTCCAGTTGAAATGAAACTGTAAGCATGAAAGTGATTTCTAAAGTATTTATATATGCATTTAATTACTGCCACTGAAAACACCTGGCAGCATTGATACCCTAGTAGCTATGACCACACATGGCACCCAGATCCTAGCTTTTGAAAGATACCATTTCCCACTAAAAAGGAACCAGAGTTCCTTAGACAAATGGCTGACTCAACAGCTGGGGAGGGGAAGAGATGAGTTTAAAATAACTTCTTGTGATGGAAAGGAAGAGCTACCTATGGGCAAATACAGGACATGCTGAGTAGCAAGAAAGTTTTATAATAGGTTCTGACACATGTAATAAAATAGGAATCCATGCATCCAAACTGATAAGAACGTAACAAGCACAGGAATGAAAGGAGAGCTGTTTCTTACAGCAAGAATCATCAACAGGATATCTAGAGGTAAGTTTGCCAAATCTAGAGGAGAAGTTTGATGAGAATCTGAACATCTTCATGATCTTCAAGTACCTCCCCACAGATAGTTTATTAGTTGTGAGGGAAAACAAATATTAACTATGTAATGAATAAACCAGACCACACTTGGACCAGATGATCAAAATTAACCACTAACAAGGGTCACATAGACACTGTGGGCTTCTCATGCTTTAAAAGATACCTTTCTGTGGTGTCCCCCGCAAGAAACACATCATCTGAATCTCATAAGGAACCATCAGAAAGTCAAAGTGAAGAACATTTTTTAAAGTTAGTAGCGTTTATTCTTCAAAATGGCAATATCGTAAGAGAGAGGGGCTGACAGTGTATTACAAATTAAAGGCATTTAGGAGACATAACTAACGGCCACCAATGATGTGAACTGGATTCTCTTCTGAGAAGAGCAAATGTAGCAGAAGACATCATATGATCAGCTGAGAATATGAGCCGCAGATTAAAGTTCTGTATCACTGTCACATTTCTCATGCATATACTATGGCTGCAGAAGAGAACACCTCTGCTCCTACGAAACATACGCTGAATATGATTGTATATGTGACAGGACGTATGCAACCTACTCACACACAGTTCAGGAAAAATGTGCACAGATTAAAAAAATAGTAAAACAAATTTGGCAAAACATTAAGTTCTCTCTATGGCCCTCGCAACTTTTCTGAAGTCAATTAATTTCAATAAGGATAATCCAGTAAGACAAAATAATTGTAGGTCTTCTCCACATACCACTTTCAGTTTCTGCTAATTTTAGTCAGTTTTGGGAGCTTAAATGGATAGCTACTACACTTTTGTGAAACCTACAGAAATAAATAAACGTTGTGGATAGTATGCTACAACACACAAGAAAGTTTAACACATTATTTATAACAGAAAACAATGGTGAGAAATCTAAAAATCTCCCACTGAAGGAAGTTAAGCCAATTTTGATACATCACTCTGTAGACATACCAGTTTTTTTTTAAAGTTTACTACAGTTTCCAACTTACTCAACGGCTCTGCTTAACAATGGTTTGACTTTTTGATGGTGCCAAAGCAACAGGCACACAGTAGAAATCTACAAATTTTGAATATTTCATCTTTTCCCAGACTGAGGACATTCAGCTTAACACTTCTGCCACGCCAGGCCATGGAGGCAAACCCAACTCCCACGCAGCCACTAGGACCACAGGCTAACACCAGTGTACTATATTGTTGCGCTGTTTATAGTAGGCTAAGAGTTTTGTTTTGTTTTAGGTTAGGAATATTAAAGGCATTTTCAATTTACAATAGTTTTATCATGATGTAAGCGTATCATAAGCACCTATAATTCATTTTAAAAAAGCTTTGTACTATCCTATACAACAGATTGAAAAAGTTGCTGATGTATCTATCTGTATGAAAAATCACAATTGTTTTAATGTGTTCACGTGCCCAGAAACAAAAGCCTAAGAGGAAACTGTTACCAGTGACTGACCCTGGGAGAAAGAAAACAGGGAAAAGGCATATTTAAATGGAATCATTTTCCTAAAATACCATGTAGTATTTCCAAAATCGAAAACTGTATTCTTAAAACTAAGACTTAAATGTACTTCGATGAATTATGACTTCACTGGAGAACATAAAATATCACTCTGATATCAGAAATGCTAATATTCCCTGGTTACTTAGCTGAAACAAAATGTATTTTTCTGCTGAAGCATCTCTGTTCTATCAAGTGTCAGGTCTTTCTTTTCTTTCTTTTTTTTTTTTTCTTTTCGTGCTACTGGAGATTAAATTCAGCACCTTTTCACTGAGCATTAAGTCACTAAGATGCCAGGCTTGGCTCGAACCCGTGATCTTCCTGCCTCAGCCTCTCAGAGTGTTGTGACTAACAAAACCAATCCTTTTATGGAGATGGGTACGATATCAACTCTAAATTGAAAGACACTGCTTACTTAGTAGCAGTAATAAAAATGTGAAAAAAATCCACACAATGGCTTTAACAAAGTGCACTCTGAATCACTTTAGTTGACAAACCAAAGTATGAGCTAAACAACGTACTTTAAACTGTAAATGTTTATGACAGTGGAGACAAACTGCTGAACTTTGAACTGCTAACCATTCTGCTATGCATTTTATGAATAGGATAGATTATCAGCATTCAGGTGTCTTTTTACAGGACTAACAATACATGCATAATTGTGTAAATATCTGAGAATCTAAAGGAACAAATATTTATTAGACTGAAGCACTGTACTGTGGAGATGTAAAACAGTCCTTTGTCAAAAAAACTTTATGAAATTGAAAACAAGGTTTATTTTTCTATTAAATATAATAAAATTACGGGCTTTTTCTCTGAAATCTAAATGACTCCTCTGAACTAGGCAATTTGGGTAACACATAAACCACCACTCTGTATTGTACTTTTAAGTTAAATTCAGGGTACAGCTCTAATTAATAAACGATCACTCTGAACAGGACCATTATGACATACTTTGATAAGAACGGTTATACTCAAGTGACAATTACCACAGAAATTGCTTTTATTTATTTTGGTTTATTCTCCTTAGCACATAGGTCAATCTCTACACTATTAGGAACATTATTATTACAATTGATTAATATATATCAATAAGCTTGCCTTTATTAACAGTGACTTCATGAGCATTTCCAAACTCACTCCTATGTACGACACAAAAGAGGAAATGTCTATGACAACTACTCTGGCTATGTATGGTGTTTCTTAATTCAGGGTACTAAAAGACTGTCAATTTTCACTCTTTCAACATTTCCTAGCTGTGCCCGAGTCTCAGTCTGCGTACTTTCAGCGAGCGCAATCGGTGGAAAATATAGCAATTCAAGGAAAACCCAGTCACGCACAGTAGCTGCTGTGGCTCTAGGCTCGTGACTTAAACCAGCTTTGGCCTTCGTTACCGTCTCTAAAAATGTCAGGACTTCCTTAGCAGCCTAAACCTGAATCATTTTACCAGTAAAAGCCAAATCGTCCACAGAGGCTGATCCGGGTCAGAGATCTACAGTACCCACATACTCCTCCATCAGATTCTGCATGCAATCGCGGCCAAGGAACGCAGAATAAACGAGCGGAATTACAACTCCTAAACGGAGGCCCTGTATTGTGCTTGAAAAGTCACGAACTCAGAATGTCTTACAAAGGCCCTGAAGACAGTCTCATACAGATAAACAGGGAAGAACGGGTGTTTTATCTGTGTAACACTCTAGTACAACAGCAGGGTGTGTTTCTTACCCAGGATCCGAGGTTCCACACTCCTGAACACCACGCCTCCCAGAGAAACGCAGGAGACACCAGAAATCCTCCACTCGGGGCAGGGAGATCGGAGAGACCCAGACACCCCCGCCCAAGCCTCGTTTTTCTTCCCCTGCAGCCGCGCAGCTGCGCCCCGCGAAGAACCCCACTTAGAATCCTCTGTGCTTCATTCCTCGCTTTTGCAAAAGCCGCCCGCCTATAATAAACAGGCTCGCGCTCCGGGAGAACGTACTTCCCGTCCAGTCAAAATAAAGTTCCTTATTTTTGTAAAGCAGGCGGCTCCAATCAACAGCGACCCTCGCGGGGAGCCGGCACGCCTC